CGCAACAACGCCGGGTGATCGCCGAGAGGGCGCTGGCAGCGGCGGGCAGCGTGTTCAACCTGATCGTGAAGGACCCAAGCAGCACACCCTTGCAGCCGCCGAACACCGCCGCAGCGTCGCAGCGAATGACTATCGTCTCGTCGACAGCAATGAAGTAACCGCGGTGCACGGGCACAGCCAGCTCCAGGACGGTGGACGGATTCGTCGCGTTGCGCTCCCACGTCGCGTTGCTCAGCATCGCTCCCCACGGACCACCAAACCCGCTCGGCTGCGCCGTGGACACCGGCACAAAGCTCAGGTGCGTGCCGAGCCGCGGGTCGCGTGCCCAACGAAACGGTGGCGGCAGCGCCACCATTAGCCATGTCGGGACGGCGCTCCCACCGCCGCGAATGTCGTTCTGCGTCAGTTTCCCACCAGCCGCCGTCGTCGTCACGGCGAGCGTCGGGCACGCCACGTCGCTCCACCACAGCGTGCTGCTCACCGATGCCGTCGGGGTCCGCGTGGGCGGCGGCGCCACCGTCTCCGTCACCTGCAAACTCTCCGTCGAACTGTACTGCGTCGGACTGTAGTGCGTCGTGCTCAGACTCGGCGTCCCCGTTGGCGTCAGGCTGCGCGTCGCCGTGTGGCTCAGCAGCGGCATGCCGTGCGTGCGGTTGCACCCGTCCACGTGCGGCAGGTGCATCGGCAGGCAGTCGCGCCCGTACCCGCCCTCAGCACAGCGGCAGCCGCACGACCCCGACATCGCCCTCGTCGCAGCAGTAAAGCAGCTTACGTCGGCGTCGCACACGCCACACGCCACGGGACGGAATTCCCCGATGATGCCGGCGGACCTGTAGTCCATCGGCCGCAGCGCCTGCCCGTTGAGCGTCAGGCACCCCACAACAAACTTCCGGCCGGCACCCACAAGCGCAACGGTGCCGTCCATCACAACGGGCCCGCTGCCGGCATTCCCGTGGAGCGTCAGCGTGCTCCGCACGAGGTCCGCACTGCGCGGGTACGACGGCACCGACAGAAGCCTGCCGCTGATGCTGTTGCCGCGCACCGAAAGCCACGAACCGGACACAAACGACGCCGACCTCCGCAGCTCCAGCAGCGCGCCATCGGTCAGCGCACCGGCGTTGTCATTCACTACGACGGCGGACGCGTTGGCCTCCACTCCGCTGCCGAATACCAATCCATGCGCGGCGTACACCTGGCTCCCCGACACGCGCAGCACAGCGCCCCCAGACGCAACCACGCGCGCACTCGCGTAAAACGCATATTCGCCACCGAGCACAGCCGCATCCAGCGCGACACCGCCGCCGACGAGCTCCAGCACAGCGTCGTCCACCACCACCGTCCGCCCACCAGTCATCACCGTCACGAGAGCAACGCCGGACACAACCAGCACGGACCGCACGAGTCGCAGGCCTGACAGCACCAGCACCGGTGCGTACGGCGAGGACTGCGAACCGGGAAGATACACAAGTGGCGTCGGCCTCGCGGCAACCAGCAGGGTGTCCGTCACCGTCAGCACAGATCCCGCGGGATACGTGCCGGTCAGCACAAGTGCACCGTTCAGCGCCTCCACATCGCACACGGACAGCTCCACCGGCCCGCTCTCGTCGCTCCCCGCCGCCCCCGCACCGCGCAACGCTCCTCCGCCCATCACGTACAGCACGGCACCGTTCAGCAGCGACACGTTCTGCACAACAATCCGCACGCCGTCCCGCGCCATCCACGGCACGTAGAGCACAGGACTCACGCCGTCCAGCACAACGTGGCGCAGCGTCATCTCGCTCGCACCGGCAGGCACAACAAACACCGACTGCACCGTCACGCCCTCGCGGAAGAACACACTCGACGCAGTGCCCACAGCGGGCGGCAGTGCGGGAGCTCCCACAGGCACGCACACCTCGCCGTACCCGCCGCTGCCGCACGCGCACACGCACACACCGTTCCTCATGCTCGCAGACGCCGTCCCGGGCGCGTAGCAGTGCGTGTCCCTGTCGCAGGCGTCGCACCCAACAACGTCGATGCTCCCAGCGTCGCCAAATCCAGCCGCAGCGTACTCCTCCGCCGTCGACAGGACACGTCCACCGGCGTCGTTGCACGCCACCCTCAAATGCGCCCCAGCCGCAAGCGACAGGCTCACCGACACCATCCGCGGCAGCAGCGCTCGGTTGCGCACAAAGCTCAGCGTGCTCCCAGCAGCGGTCACGGCGCCAGCGGCGTAGAGCATCTCCCTCGAGCCGCCGTCGTGCACGTTGTCCTTCGCCAGCAGCATCGACCCGCCGGCCAGGCTCACCGTCGAATAGAACGCCACCGCGTAGTCCTCCGTCGACAAAAAGTCGCTCCGCACAAGCGCCACAGCGGAGCCCGACACGCTCACAGCCCCACGCACAGACACCGCGTGCTTGCACAGCAGGAAGTCGCTGTCAACAAATGCCACCACGGAGCCGCCGCTGGCCGAAACACCGCCTTCCACCGACACGCACAGCCCCAGCGCCGTCTGCACCAACAGCCCGTCCAAGTACAGCGCACCGCGCGACGACAGCGCCACGCCGCCAACCACCAACACGCCAACAGCGTCACGGAACACCGCCGCCACATGCGTGCGCGCAATTGTCAGCACGCTCCCCGTCAGATTCACGCTGTGCACCACGAGGCACGCGGAGAGGTCGCCAAGATCGTAGTCGCCGCGGTACGCAACGCGCTTCTCCGCGATCAGCACCGAGTCCACCACAGCGACGCGCGAGCCCGGCGGGAATCGGTTCGCCACCAGCGCACCGCCGCCGGAGCGCGACTCAAGCCCGCTGACCAACACATCAACGCGCTCGTCAGCAGGCGGGTCGGACAGCCACCCGACAACGTACAGGCTCGCTCCGCCCACAAACGTGCAGTTCGCCAGCGTCACGTTGCGCACGCTCCCCGACATCGACCCCACGTCCACCACGACGTCCGCCGCAAAGGTCACACCAACGTAGCACGCCACCGACGTCCCGAGGCCGGCGTTCACCTCCACATCCACACTCACGTCCCGCACGCACAGGTCGACGCCGTCGGTGCTCGGTGGTTCGGGGACAGCGACAGGCAGGCACGCATCGCCGTGGCCGACCTCCGCGCACGTGCAGGCGCAGCCATCTCTCGAAACCGTCGTCGTGTACGCGGGGAAGCACGACGTCGCGAGGGCGCATGGGTCGCTGCACGTCAGAATGGTGGCATTGTACACGGACGGGATGACGTAGTTCACTTCCTCCTCGCCGTTCACAGTGTTGCACCCAGCCACAATAGCTCCGTTCGTGATATCGCGGGACCCTTTGGGTATCCGTAAAACTGTCGGCGTGACCGTGCTGGACATGAATCGGTTGCCGGACACAGACACCGTGGAGTCGCGGAGATTCACCGTGGGGCTCAGGAGTGCAAACGCATCCGATGGGGATTCACGGCAGAGGTTGTCGCTCAATTGCAGCCAGGAGTTGTAGTCGATGCAGGAAGGGTAGCTCAGGAAGAACGCGACCGAGATTCCCTGCATTTCGTTGCCCTGAAACACAACCGCTGACCGGGACTCCACACGTAATGCCAAAATTACTAATAAAAAGTACTTCACCGGCCTCGACACAACGTTGCCTCGGATCACCACGGCAGAGTCGTTCAGCACCTTCAGCGAAAATGACTGGCTAGACCCCTCAAGATTAATCAGCGTGCCGTCACTGCCAGCCATATGAAACACGTTGCCCACCACCGCAAAAACGGAGTGCCACGACACGCTCAGCGCAGATCTGACAACGTAAAGAGCACTTGACGATGCCCCCACGCTCTCAAACACATTGCCACTGAACACCACCGCGGAGTCATTGCTGATCGCCAGTCCATTCATCGCAACACACGACGGGCTGTCAAGGCCCAAACCCGACCGAGGGATCAGCCTCGTGACCGTGAAGCGGTTCCAGCTGATCGTGATGTTCGTGTGCGGTGGAAACACACCCTCCGGGCTGAGCAGCGCGTCACGAAAAGTGTTGCCGGTGACGACGATGTTCAGCGACCCCACAAAGGCGTACGCGCTGCCCAAAAGCAACAGCACGGCGCCGTCCCTCCACGTGCATCCATCGAACATGACATTCGCCACGTCGCCCGTCATCGCCCCAAGCAGCACCGTCAGTCTCATGCCGCCCCCGCTGAACGTCACGTTGCGGTAGCACAGCCACGACTGCCCACTGCCCACTGCCTGCGCAACCTCGGGGTACACAATGTCGCTGATGCACTCACCCACCGGCGGTAACGGTGGCGTGGGTGGTGGCGGTGGTGGCAGTGGTGGCGATGACGATGGCGGCGGGCCAGCAGGCACAGGCGCCGGGACGCACACATCGCCGTGCCCTCCAGCAGCGCACTGGCACTTGCAGTCAATGACCGCCGTCGTCAGCGGGGCAAAGCAGTCGCCGTCCTTCGTGCACTCCCCGCACGCGGTAACCGTCGTCACGTTGGTGATGCCGTGGAGCTCCAGTTCTGCTGCCGTCGTCACCACCCGTCCCGCGACCGTCAGGCATCCAGCAACGAACCGGTAGCCGGCGTCAGCCCGCTT